AAACGAAAACAATGATTTATTTTAGGTTGCGAGGATCATATTCTGATTTCATATATAAGTGGAAGACATTTTTAAAGAACTTTTATGAGTAGAATATGCATAATATAATTGATCAATGAAGAATGAAAATATTTCAAATGTTGATCTTCTATGGAGAGTAGATCTGAAAAATGTCGTCTATCCATTGAAGAACTTCAACAGGTACTCTGTTTATACGCAACTTTAATCCGGATATCTATGGACATGAGATATTCTTCGAGTCTTCTTCCAGACTGCAAACGTAATTGGTCGTCCATTTATAGTAGACAATTAATAAGGGCAAAATACCTTTCAAACATAAAAACCTTCAGCAGGTACTTAAAACATAAAAAACCTTCAGCAGGTTTTCAATCGATAGCAGACTTTTAACACGAAATTTCTTCAAAATGACTTCTAAAAATAGGGAAGTTTCAAAAGCAACAAAGGCATTTAATACTTGTATGGAATAACGTCTATGGATAGGACGTTCGACAGACATTCTGTATATAAAAACCGTCCACATATCTCATTATTATGAAGACCTACGACTTATATTAGATATAGAGATATTACTATTTGGCTTTCCAGAATTTGAAATCTCAGGACGTTTTTTTTTTTTTAAATGCGAAATATCCATACAAATGTTTGCAAACAAAAAAAAAAAACAACAAAGTTCTAAGGTATAAAGTGCTCCTCAAATATTTATTTAAAAATCCACAATTAAAGGCCTTAGAATACTTTATAAAATTTATTTAAAAATTCGTTATAATCTTTAAAATATTCTCCAACTATGCGAGGCTTTAGGTCGCTGAATATTAGTAACAGAATTTGTTCAACATTTACGATTTTAGAGTATTGAATTGCTTCAAAATATTTATAAAAAGTCCACGATAATAGAGTAAAACCAGTAAGGGAAGATCAAAAGTCGGGTGGGGCCGACCACATCATACCCTACACCACTATGCGTATATACAGGGTGAGGCAAAAAAAACTGCAACCAACTTCAGACTGCTGTCATTTCTAAGCCAATCATCCGACATTCCAGTGACAGCTCATTATATTGTTTGCAAGCGTACAAAAGCATTTTGGTGAGAATTTTCCAGAAAAAAAGTTATTCCTGATTGAATTTAAGCGTGATAGTGTGATTTATTTATGTATGGCTGGGAAAACCACAAGTGGCTATCGTTAGAGCACTCCAGCATTTAAATGTAAGTAAATCGTTTGTGTCTTGTACCATCGCTCGTTACCGTGATACTGGAAGCGTAGGCCGACGCCAAGGTAGTGTACGTAAGAAAACAGCAACATCAGCAGAAATGGTTCGAAAAGTAAAGAAACGACTTGATCGAAACCCGCGCTCGTGAGCTGAACATATCGCAATATTCCATTCGGCAAATATTGAAAATGAGAATACATTCGTTGTCCAGCAGTTTGTAAACAAACAAAATGAACGTTTTTACTTGCCAAGGGGGTCAGCTGAAAACGTGCAACTTCGGTTGACCACCAGAACTCATGCGCCGGTCATGGTGATGGTGTGGGCCGCCATAACAGCCGATTGTCGCTCTCCGCCCGTATTAATCGACCGTGGCATCAGAAAAAATGCCGAATATTATCGCGAATATATTCTGGATGGTGTATTAAAGCCACATGGTTACAAAATGAGGATCCTCGCTTCATTTCCAGCGTGCAATGACCACCAAAATCTCCGGATACCAATCCGTTGGACTATTGTGTCTAGAGAATTTTGCAAAGCAAGGTTGGCACTAAAAATTGTCAAAATGTCGATCACCTCAAGGAAGCGCTTCGCCGGGAATGGGTCAAAATACTGCAGAGCAACATTCGGGCAACGTGTGACGGGTTCATTTACCGTTTGAAGGCCATAATTCGTGCCAAAGGTGACCAATTCGAACAAATCTAAACTTATTCTAAAATTTGATGCTATTTCCGACATTTTTGCTTTCAGTCAATACAATTAAAAAAAAATGTAAAAATTATGGCATTTGACTTTAAGAAGGTGCCGACATATGGAGCCTATACGAAGACGTAGACCTGCATACGAAATTTTTGACAACCCCGTTCAAAACTGTACCTTAAATCATAAAAATACCAAACATCGGTGGGTAACGTTGTATGGGGAATAAACGATATTGTGGACCTATATAAACAATACTCTTTCTGGGGCTATAGTACTCAAAAGAAACTCCTTATGACAATGTCATTGAAAAATTTGGATACAATCATCAAAATACCAAATATGGGGGTACAGTTATATGGGGGCTATATAATATCGTGGACCGTTATATCCTATCTTAGAACTTTTCCTGTTTGCAGACAAAAGACCGATCTGTGCAAACCTTTAGTTTCCTACCTTTATTCATTTTGACTCTAGCGTGATTAGAAAAGATGGACAGGCGAATGGACAGAGGTAAATCGTCATAGAATTTTACGCTAATCAAGAATATTTATACTTTGTTAGGTCTATAATTATTACATCGATGATGTATTGGAATAATTCAAATTTGGCGACTGTTTATCGTATTCCTCCAGGATTTTTTTTTTTTTTGGGAAATGCAGTAAAAATTTGCTGAATATTGTCTCAATATTCCTCTTTTTAAGGAATCGGAATTTTTTTAACCTACAACACTATGTGTTGGGGGTTTTCAAACATAGCAAAGTATATATGATTCTTCCTTTCTCGCAGAACAGAGTCGATCTACCTATGTATGTACGTCCGTCTATCTGTCCATGTTAATTTGTAATCAAGTTACAGGTCGCAATTATGGCCCGATCTTCACGAAATTTAGAGTGGAGGTGTGCTAGAGCCATAATAGAATCCTATTGCTTTTGGAGATGATCGCATAATATTTAGGGGTTGAAATGTACCAAAAACTGAAAAATTTACTGATTTTGCAGTTGCTCTACAGGTCACAATTATAGACAAATCGATGCGGAAGTTAGCATGGGGTGGATCTTGGGGCCGGGCAGAAGCCTTCCAATTTTGATGGTCATCGGTAATAATAATTAGTGGTTGAAATAGATCATAATATTTGTGTTAAATAAAAGTCAAATTTTCCTTTAAACTGCGAATATTTTTAATCCCGGCGAAATCACAAATAGGCGAACAGGTTAATTCTGACCATTACGTAGATACCGATACCAAATATGTCGGAAATATATACAAAGTAAGGGGATGTAAGCTAGAATGTCGTTATAAAGGCCACAAATAGAAACCAAAAGACACGAAATCTCGCATCAAGTTAGAGTTAGGAGAGCGGGTAGAATGGACCACTACTTTTGTGTGAAAAATACCAACATTACTCACATACGATATCTGGAATACACAAAAGGCGAACTTCTGGCTTTTTTATGCTGATTTCGTTGACGAATATAGCCAAATATCGTAGACAAGCAAATCACATAGATGAGTCTAAATTTGGAGATACAGATGGACTTTTTGCATTTGGAGATGATCGCAAAATATTTAGGGGTTCAAACGAGCCAAAAACAGATCACACAATAGAAGTCAATCGACACGCCTGGGAAGGGAGTTAAGGATAGGGAAGAATTCTAGCATTTTTTGATGACCATTGGATTATATTTAGCTGTAAAATGGACCACAACAACTAACAGCACGACGGAGTGCATAAATATTGGGTAAATGTCCCTAGTGAAAAATTCCAAATTGGAAGCGAAATCTTCCAATATGGATTTGGACATAAGGGGGCTTCTAACATATTGTAGTGTTGTAGGGTACATAGTCGGCCCCGCTCGACTATAGCCTTTTCTTACTTGTTTATGATGATTTCGTTGACGAATATAGCCAAATATCGTAGACAAGAGAATCGTATGTATGAGTCTAAATTTGGAGATACAGAGGGACTTCTTGCATTTGGAGATGATTGCAAAATATTTAGGGGTTCAAATGAACCAAAAACAGAAAAAATTTCCTGATCACACAATAGAAGTCAATCGTCACGCCTGAGAGGGGAGTTAAGGATAGGGAAGAATTCTAGCATTGTGGATGACCATTGGATTATATTTAGCTGTAAAATGGACCACAACAACTAACAGCACGACGGAGTGCGTAAATATTGAGCAAATGTCCCTGATCAAAATGCTAAGGGTAATATCTGTGCAGTGCTCCGTGACATCATTTCAAAAACGAAATCTTCCAAAATGGATTTGGAAATAAGAGGGCTTCTAACATATTGTAGTGTTGTAGGGTATCACATGGCCGGCCCCGCACCACTATAGACTTTGCTTACATGTTTATTAGTCAAGAAACAGTGGCATTGTTTACCAATAGTTAAGGCATTAAGGACCAAGATTTCGATAAGGTTCTTCAATATTTTTCCTTTCTGATGCCCTCTCTTAAGTTTGGTTTTTCTTGCTATTTTATAAACGTTGCCAAAGCCAAAAAATTGGTTTTTCGTCCAAGATAATAGAATTGAATAGAATTAAAAATCACCATATCCACCACCCCCTTTGTGTCATCAAAACGTATAAAAGCCTATCATATAATTACTATTTAGTACACCCACCAATACTTCAAGAAAAACAACCCGAGTGCAGTGATGTTTACTACAACAAAGGCATCACACATTACAAAAACAAAAGAGGCGAACAATACGCCAACAACAATTGTGAAATGCACATTGCTCATTCACTCTCTCGCCCTTTGTTTACTCCCACCACCTCGACTTAAATGCTTTTGTTTACAAACACAATGCCAACAAATAGTTTGTCGCGCGCTTACCTCGCTTTTTGACTTGGCTAATATGGGACTGTGTGTTGAAACACATTACTTGGCCAAAATGGCCATGAAGCTTTTTTGTGACGTCACTAAGGAAAGAACGGAAAACAGCTTTGGGACATGCGCACTTCCGAGAGAATTGGAGGGTATTTATTCAGCCATTTGCTCGAGTAAATACTACAAAGCAGCAAACGTCTGAAGAAAATCTATGAAACTTTAATGCGACCATCATCGTTCAGTGCAACGCGGACATTGGCCCCTTTAACAGCCAAACAACCAGAAAAACGCAAGACCGGAAAACAAGATTCAGTGTTTCGTGTGAAAGCGGACAACGTGATCAAGTAGCGGTGTAAACCTCAATAAGAAAAAAATAGCAAAAAAAAAGTGAAATAATTTTTGGTGCAAGCAAAGGAAAACGCATTCGTATTGAATAACACCTAGATTTTTATTTTTGGAAAGTGTGAAAGATTTTCGCCAAAAAAAAGATTGGAGGTGTGTGTGTGTGCGGAATTTCTAATGAAATAGCCTAAATTTCTGTTTTGAAATTATACCAGTAATTCAAAAATTTTGTTTTGTAAGATATTTTTGATTTTTCTTTGAAAAAGTATTCAAATTGTGCATTCATTCATTTGATGTGGGCCATTTTCGTAGATGTCTGGAAAATGTTAACCTGAATTAATGAAAAAAAGTTTCACTTGAATCCATAACGTAAACGTATTAACAACAGCAACAACCGGTAATTATCACACGGTAAATTGTTCAGTGGAATTTTAAAGTGATTTCCAAAGAAATTTTGAAATTTAAAAGAAAAATTTTGAAAATTTCAATTTAAAGAAATTTTGAAAGAAAATAAAGAAAATCATTTACAATTTCATATTCAATTGTTTTGTGCATATCAAACGAAAAAAAATTCAATATTTCGCTCTCCAAACCGTCAAATGAATTGATTTCTTATTCAACGTTTCATCGGTGAGTGTTTGTGGCAAATATTTGCCTGCTTCAATCAGCCAACAATAACAACAACAAAAAGGTGAAAACAAATTTGGGGGTGTGTCAACAGCTGAAGACTATCCTGGGACTTCCTGCCAAACCATTGTAGCTGCTGTCTTCTGTCATTTGCTGTTCCCCATTCATTTGGATTACTCGGATTCGCACACATTTCGATTCTCAGGTTTGTTTTGATTAATTCAACACCTTGAACAGTCTCATTAATTTTTATTGTCATTGTTCCTTCGTTTTTGTGTCTCCTTTGTGGCGTTTTTTTTTTCATTTATTTTGCCGGTTGTCTGTTTACAGACAGCAAATGTCTTTGTTTTTTTTTTTTTTTCTTTTTTGTGGGTCATTGAAAATCTCGCAAGAGGATAGAAAGTTTATTCGTGATTGCTGGTTGACCCACATAATTTAGTAAAGCCAACCAACCAACCAACCGGCCAGCCAGACAGACATTCAAATCACAAAGGACGAATTTTTTGCCTGTGGCCTTCCTTCAACAACAACAAATAAATAACTAATGAAAACCATATTTAGTTGTTGTTGTTGTTGAAGCATCGAACCCACATAGACATTTGTTTGATATTTTGACTTTCCCTTTGATGTTCCCATTTGGCCAATAATTCAAAATGTTTTTGGGTCATATTTTTGATTTATTGCCCATACTAAATAGTTGGGGAATTCATTGGATTTTTTTTTTTGGTGGTTAAGGTGTGTGGAGACTTCTTTTTAGGGAGGGGGTGGTGTTAAAATAAATAACATTATCATAAGGACAACAAGTTGTAATAAAAACAAGTTAAAAAGTATCAGTCGGTTTTGCCGACAGAGGTATACCCTCAGCCAATATTCGATTATTTAAATATATATTGTGTTCTTTTATGATTATTCAAATTATTGACCCCATATGGAGTGGATTTCGAGGAAATGAGCCAATATTGTTCATTTCGCATCGGACCTAAATAAATATGATATAAATATTGCGACGTGTCGGGTTTGGACTACTTTCTTCAATTTATATGGGATATGTAAAAATTCTTAGGTGAGGTACCAGATAAAGTCGATCGTACTATTCCAATTACGTACTTCATCTAATACTGATAAAAATATTGGTATGGGCAAAATTACAAAAAAAAATTAATATTTATATCGATTTTTATGGGAAATTATAAATTTCCATAGAGTCCATATTCATATCAGATTTTTGGTTGAGAGAAATAATTAGATATAGCAATTTGTAAAGAATCGCTTATTTGTTTCACAAAGGTGAGGTACCAACTAAACTGCAACCAACTTCAGACAGCTGTCATTTCTAAGCCACTCCTTTGACATCGGTAAAAATTAATCCAGTGACAGCTCATCATATTGTTTACAAGCGTACAAAGCCATTTTGGTGAGCAATTTTCAGAAAAAAAGTTATTCGCGATTGAATTCAAGCCTAATAGTGTGATTCTTTATATTTGGCTGGAAAACCACAAGTGGCTGTCGTTAGAGCACTCCAGTATTTAAATGTGAATAAATCTTTTGTGTCTCGCACCGTCGCTCGTTACCGTGATACTGATAGCGTAGCCCGACGTCAAGGAAGCGGACGAAAGAAAACAACAACATCAGCAGAAATGGTTCGAAACGTAAAGAAGCGACTTGTTCGAAACTCGCGTCGCAGTGGCTGAAAAATGGTTCGTGAGGTGAACATATAACAATATTCCATTCGACTAATATTGAAAATTGAGCTCGGGATAAAGCCATTGAAATTCCAAAAAGTGCAAGAACTTACACCGCAACAAAAAGAAAATAGACTCAGCAGAGCTAAAAAGTTCCTTCGCTTGGCCAAAAGTGGTGAACTGCCGAGTTTGGTTTTCTCCGCTCCGATGAGAAAACATTCGTTGTCCAGCAGTTTGTAAACAAACAAAACGATCGTGTTTACTTGCCAAAGAGGTCAGCTGAAAATGTGCCCCTTCGGTTGGCAACCAGAACTCAAGCGCCGGCCATGGTGATGGTGTGGGCTGCCATAACAGCCGATGGTCGCTCTCCGCACCAGAATAAATGTCCAATATTATCGCGAAAAAATCCTGGAGGGTGTATTAAAGCCTTGGACACGTAAACATTTCGGCCGCAGACCTTGGACATTCCAACAGGACTCAGCACCCGCAACCCAAGAATGGTTACAAAATGAGGTTCCTCGCTTCATTCCCAGCGCACAATGGCCCCCAAAATCTCCGGATACCAATCCGTTAGACTATTACTTAATAGTGTATAGTGTGTAATGGAGTATTTTGGAAAGCAAGGTTGGCACTAAAAAATACCAAAGTGTAGATCACCTCAAGCAATCGCTTCGCCGGGAATGGGCCAAAATACCCCAGAGCAACATTTGGGCAGCGTGTGACGGTTTCATTGGCCATTTGAAGGCCATAATTCGTGCCAAAGGTGACCAATTCGAACAAATCTGAACTTATTCAAGAATTTGATACTATTTCCGACATTTTTTGCTTTCATTCAATAAAATTAAAAAAAAAAAATGTAAAAATTATGGCGTTAGACTTTGTTACAGCTCTTTTTATCTCACCCTGTATATAATCTTCATAACAGAGCTTATGTTATCTAAAATGTTTGTATGTGTGAAATTTGAAGAAAGTTGGATGATTATTTCGCCTTCTTTGAGCGTTTTACTTTTTTAAAAATCTTGAGTCCTATATGGGGGAGATCCAAGAAGAAATGATCCGATCTCTACCATATTTATAACACATCTTATGTTGATGGAAAAATTAAGATGTACCAAGTCTGATTGGAATCGGATGTTATTTTCGCGTTTTATGAACTTTATGGATATTCAAAATGTTGACCCTATATGGGGGAAGTACCAGAAGGAGTGAAGCGATATAACACATCTTCATAGCGATCTTGTGTAAGTAGAAATAATGGGATGTGTGAAATATGAAGAGAACCGGATTTTTATTTCGGCTTTCATGATCGCTTTGGTTATTCAAAACTTTGACCCCTTGTGTGGGATGTACCAGAAGGAATGGTCCGATCTCTACCATCTCTTTAACAGATCTAGTTTTGGTGAAAATTGATTGAGATGTGCCAAGTTTGAATGGAATCCGAATTTTACATCACATTTTATAAGAGTTATAATTATTAAAATTGTTGACCCTATGTGGGGGAGGTACTTGATGGAGTGCATCGATATTATCCACCGAGTGCAACGATATTATCCTGACCAAACACTTATACAAATATTAGAATTTGCAAAGTTGGAGCAAAATGGGACCCATCCATCCTTTTCCAATGCTGTATATTATTTTCTATGGAAATTTGGACCTCTCCGAACTCGATCTGAGTTTGACAAAAACTTTTACAATGTACCAAGATTGGACCAAATCGAATACTCCCTTCGGAATTATCGCAGAATTATCGCACCAGCCAGGCAGACAGACGGACATCGCTAAGTTGCCTCCAAATGTCCTGAAACTGATTTGGTCCAAATAGTCCTAGGGTCTTAAACCGTTTTTCTGACTAGGCACGTTTTGGCCGTATCAAATGATAAGAAACTCTCTCTAGCCATATGGGTATATTTTCTGCAGGCAGGTCAAGTTCAAAGATGGGCTATATCGTTCCACGATATCGTATAGCCTTCATATTCGGTATTTTGATGATTTTACCCACCTTTTTCGATCGAATTATCTGAAATTGTTCACAAGAAGTTCTTTATGAGTACCTTACCCCCTAAAAGATAGTTGTCTATATAGGTCCACGATATCGTATATCCCCCATACAACGGTACCCCCCGATATTCGGTATTTTGATGATTTTACCCACATTTTTCGATCGAATTGTCTGAAAACAAGGAGTTCCTTGTGAGTACTTTATCCCCTAGATATCGTGTATAGGTCCACGATATCGTATAGCCCCATATATCGGCACCTTCCAATATTCGGTATTTTTTAGATTTAACAGAATTTTTGAATGGATTTTATTTATTTATTTTTTTGAAAATTTCTTAATTAATCCCAAATGGTGGAGGGTATTCCAAGTTCGGCCCGGACGAATTTACTAATTTTTTTTTTTTTTTTTTTTTTTTTTTTTATAGAAGACCGAAAATCTTTCTATAGAAGGACTAATGGTTTCCCTTTAGAAGGAATTGTGGTATTCTGCAGGAACACGTAATGACCTTCCTATCCAAGATCTAATGAGTATTCTTCCCTTATTTTAAATATAGAACCCTTCTTATAGATAAAATAAAAATTCTTTGGAAGACATTATGACATGTTCCAGAACCAAACGTAGAGCCCCTAAAATTAGTGTTTCCACTGTATTTCCTTAATTTATTAAACGATAAATAAAAGAACAAAAGCAAACACATAAAACATGGAAATCCCATGTTCCTATAACTTAAACATATTCTTCTATATTGTAAATGTCACCACCTATGCCCACCACCGACACCCCCTAGGCTTCATGGCTTTCTACTATTTTTAGATATTTGTCATCATCGTCATCGCCATCCTCTGTTTCGTTTGTCTGTTCTGTCTAACGTTTGTGTTGTTGTGTGTCGGCGATGTTTTCTGACTTCGAATAATATTTTTTGATAACTGCAGCATGAATGTGGCGACAATCACGTAATTTGTACCAGTGCCAAGTCAAAAACAAACACACCAACTACTTCGATATGTCACAATGTCGCAGAGGAAAAAAATGGAAATTTTGTTTTATCATTGATAATAGGCTATGAGCAATTGTCATAAAATTCAGAATGGAATTTTCGAAATGTTGGGAAAATTTTCTGACCCAGTTGGTGAACTTTGTTCAGTTAACCGTATAAAAGACAATTTAAGTTTTCGGTTTTTAGTTTTCTTTTCCGCTTAGATTTGATATGAAAATATTCACTTTTGCAAAACTAAATAAATTGCCCTGCTCCATTGAGCTGTCGTTTCCGGTGTCCAATAACAAAACTAACTTTGCCATGATGTTGTCGTCAATCCCACCGGGGGCCACATGAAATGAAAATATCAACAGAAGTGTTCCTCCACGCAATTATTGTTCACTTAGTAGCGAGAATTGTGTGCCTGGGCAAAGGATCTCAGTTGTATTTGTATTGATGGTCGCCATGGAAGATAGTTTGACGAGAGTGTTGAGAAGAGTCATAGCAGGAATAGTTTTATTGTTTGAGGGGGATTGAAGTTATGT